TTGTGAAGGAAGAGGAAAGCAGAGCTGGGGGCTTTGGGGAGGGCTTAGAGCTCTGGATGGCTGACCATGACCAGGTTTTCCTGCAGGCCAGAGCTTATTGCACTTGAGATTGGGCAGCTGGGAAGGTCAGTGGAAGCAGATTTCTTTCATCGGAGTCCTTCCCGCCATCCTGTCGCCTGCTCCCTGTAGGAAGCCATTCTGCTGACCAATTGTAAAGGGCTCTTCAGCCAGCAGTTGCCAACTTTAGAGGGACACATTGTCCCCAGGGAGGTTTGACTCTGCCATTGCCTGGGTGGCTGGCAGTTTGAAGGGGACCTTGTAGAGACCACAGCAGTGGAAGCGGCTCGTGAGCTCAAAGGAAGAGCAGAGGCCACACCCTGCTGGGCTGGGCATCAGGGTGGGGTCTATCCTATCAGGACCCTCCAGTTGTCAACCCATTGGCCATGGCTTGTTGTGCTCCTGTCCTGGACGGCTAGTGACCAGGGAGTGGCGAGGCGAGGAAGTCCAGCTTGGCGGCAGACATTCTTGCACATTGCCAGCAGCCAGGTCTGATTTTCACTGACGATGTTTTTGGGTGGTGGTGATAAATGATGCTCCTAGTTCCACTGTGGGGTTGACCCTCTGTATCGCTGTCCACAGCGGGAGTTCCTGGTTGTGCTCCACCAGGTAGCGTGGACAGAACCAGGCAGTGTGGTCATCAGCCACCCCATCCAGGCTTGTGTGGAACTTAGAGGAGAACGTCTTGAGCAGACGGCATGTGGTGTGAGGTTTCCTTCATGCTTTTGCCTCTTCATTTTTTTACTGGAGAGTGAAGCCTTAGCCAAGGTGTAGACTGAGCCAGGTCCCGCTCACAGAGCCACTCTGCAGACACAAGGCTTTGTTTTCAGGCTGTGGATTTGAGGCTGAGGCATCCCAGAGGCTAATTCTGCAGAGCCCTAAAGCTGGAGGGAATTGTGTGTTTAGGATGGGGTGTACTGCCTGCCAGGATATTGCCTGCTCTAGGCTGTGCTGAAGCCAGCGACCTCGTGTGTCTGATTTTCGTCAGATCTCAGGGCCTCCACTCCTGGCTATTCATGGCTGACCTTTGACTCCAAGAACTGAGACCAAAGAAGCTGCTGTTCTTAGTGAAGTGTGCACTGCACTCCGCATGGAAGCGAGAGAGGTCTGGGCTCCTTTCGAGCCTGCCCCTTTCAGACGCAGCACCTTGCCTTGTCCAGACCTTGAAATCAAACAACACAGTGCCCACCCCTTCCCCCTTTGAGCAGAAGCTGGAACTTCGAAAGACTTGACATCCCAGTGCTGGTCCTCCTGTGTCAGGTCCCAGCCTGAGCTTCTGTGGGATCTGAGGGTGTTCCTTTCTGAGTGTGCTTCACCCCGGCCGACCCAAGGAACGGATGCTGAAGCTCACGTGGCTGCGTTGGAAGAAACACATCTCCTGGCAGAGGCCTGGCATCTCCTAAAGCATGCGGCCTGCTCCTTGGGGGTGTGGCCAAGCCCTCAGTACTGTCATCGATTTATAGAATGAGCTTAGTGGTGGCTGCTGTCGTCCAGCCTGGGTTTTTACTCAGCTCCTCCCACAAGTTCGTATCCAAGTGCTCAGAACCATTGTGTGAAGCATAGGGTCCCCAGCAAGGAGCCTTGCAGTTGTGGGAGCTGACAACCAGGGAAGGACTTGAGCCTCCAGCTTCACAAGTGGGACCACCTTTGGGCAGCTGCTGCTGGAGGACCGTGTTGAACTTGGCCGTCCCTTTCTACCATCCAAGGATCCTCCTGGCCTTGAGTTTTTGGACTCTGAGTTAATGACATTTACCTCCTGCCTTTGGATGGCGTGTGTTTGACACTGCACCCATGGCACATGCCCACCAGCTGGGACCTATGTGGGGGAGTGCTGCAGAGAAGGAAGCCTCTGTTCTGGATTGAGGGAGACATGGGGCTCATTACCCCCACATGCCTGTGTCTGAAGACTTAGGTCTTTTTTGGAGGCCAACTGCACCAAGCTACCCAGGTTGATAGAAAATTTCAGGCCTGGCCTGCTCCTCCTTTTTAACTGCCATACCCCTCTTCCCTGTTGTTGCCTTTCTGGAGCCCAGAAGTGATACTCCTGTGGTCTCGAATTCGTTCCCCAAAGATGAGCATTTAACCCACATAAGGGATGGTCCCAAAGGCGGGCACAGCTCCACAGAACAGTGGTTCAGGAGAACGAGGGGCAGACCTGCAGGCCAGGGTGAGGAGCAGAAGTGGATTCTGGTCAGGGACTGCCTTCATGAGCTGAAAGAGACCCCACGCTTCTGTTGTCTGCTAGTGCGTGGTGACGCTGGCCTGCAGATGATCTGCCCCAAGAACTGCTTCATCCAAGTGAGTTTGCACTGATTGGCTGGCAGGCAGCCGCTGCACCAGGGCCAGGGAAGAGGCAGCTTTTCTTATGTCTTGGCTTTTCTCTGGGCTGTGGGAGGGGCATCCATTTCCAGGGTCGGAGAGTAAACACCAAATGCATTGTTGTTCTGCTCGATACATCTCCCTTGTTTCTAATAAAGGCAGCAACTGAACCCTTCTGCCCTCCTGGTCTTCCTTTGGTCAGCAGGTGGCAGTGGGACAGATGGCAGCTGGACCATGGCCTAGAACACCTCTTCCTGATGGGAGAGGCCCACCACTCAGGGCAGCTGTTAACAGTGGTCCTTGGGCGAGGCTGTTCTTTATCAGGGTAAACTTGGCTCTTGCTCTGGAGGGGAGGAGTCGAGGCTGACCCAGCTCATGCTGGGAAAGAGCAGGGCTCTGAGCTCCCTGACAGGCCTGTGCAGGGTGCAGTGGGAGCCCCTCCCAGGCCTCCCCGGCCAGGAGCACATTCCACCCCTCTGTCCAGCTCAGCAGTGGCTCCTCTGGTGGAGGATGCCCTGAAGGAACCACAGTGCTGGACTACTGACCACAAAGTTGGTAGAATGAACTGACCAGTCACCTAGCTAAAGGAGGGACTCGTGGCAGTCTGTGTCTGAAGAGAACAGCCTTGGAGACTTTGTGGGGCAGTTCGCCGAGTCGGAATTGACTGTAGGGCTTGAATGTGGTTTTGGATTGGCCTGTGGCTCCCCGTGGCTGGTGTCTTTGTGCCTTTTTCTAGGTGTTTTGGGCACCATCTGTGAGGCTTTTCAAAGGGAACTCCAGACCAAACAGGAATCGGAACCACCAACTTCCACAGGCGCTTTGAGCCCCTCAAATCTCAGGCTGTTACTCTTGCTCTTAGGTTGGGCCTGAGAGATCCCAGCCCTTTGAGTGGTCGTGCCCATGGACCTCCAGTGTTGAAACTCTGTTCGCCTTTGCCTTCCACTCATAGTAAGTTCCTTCTGACATCCTAACTTGGAGCTCTTGACCTTACAAGCCAGGCACCCCAATTGAGATCACTAGGTCTGGTGAGAACCTGTTACACCAGAGGCAAGAAGAGCAGCCGACCGAGGGCCCAGCCTGGGCCAGTGCCCAGCTGACAAGCCCTGACCCGAGCTGGTCTGTAGGCATCCCACAGCCCAAATCTAAAGCTGCACTTCCTGTGGCTCTGCCCCTTGGGAGGTTACAGGTCTGTGTTCTGGCCCTTTTCAGTACCATGTCCCTAGCCCATTCCTCCTTCTGAGCTCTCTTGAGATTCTGATCATCCTCCTTCAGACACAGGAACTTGTCAGAACCAGATGCCCGAGGCTGCCACCACCTGGCCCCAGGTTGTGGTTGACAGGAGTTTGGGGCCAGATGAAGCTCATCTCTATTATATCCTGGACACAGTGTTTCCTGGTCTGGCTTCTGTCACCTGGTGACTGGCCGTCCCCCACCCCCCAGACAACCAGAGGCCTTCACTGGATGGTCATCTTCAATCTTCAGGGTTCACCCTCCTGAGCAGATGGGGCCTTGAGCTCTTCGAGCCCAAGAAAGGGCCTGTTGGTGCCCTCTTGAGGCCTGGCCCATCCTCTTTAGAGCCAGGACAGTTCTGCCTGATAGAGCCCACCCACCTGGCATCTCCTTGTTGAGGGCCCTCTGGGAGAGGGACAGATGGAAGGGCAGGGTGACCTTGTGCTTTGGTGTCCTGGGGAGTCGTGTGATGCTGGCATTAGCTCTAACCCGGGAGGAGGGATGGGCTATTTTGAGCTGAGCTACCTCCTCCAGCCCGTCCCCACCCCGTGCTATATTAGAAAATTGGATCTCTGCTACTACGGGCAGGGCCCAAGGACTCATTCTCCTGCCTGCCATGGGTATGGAACACAGAGGAACATAGGGGTCACAGGGCTCCAGTAAACCTACTGCTTTATTTTTCAAAATACATCATCGTCTTCTAGTGTCCTCTCCAGGACTCTTCTGAGACACAAGTTAAAATCTACTGCTGTGGTGGCTGAATGGTAAGAAACTGGCAATCCCAAAAGCACGTGAATCCACCAGCTGCTCCACAGGAGAAGGATGGGCAGTCTCCTCCTACCAGAAAACCCACTGGAAGGGCCAGCTGTGAGTTGGTTCAGACCCAGGGCACACAACAGCTAGGTTTCCTTGGGACCCCGAGCCTCAGCACTCCTTACTTTAAAGGGCAGAAATGCAGAGTTTGAGGAAGGAGGCCAGGAAGGTCTGACAGGAAAGGACTAGGTGGTTCAAATTCAAGGGTGGTGGTGGGGTGGTTAGACTTCTTTGGGGAAGAGAAGGAGACTGAAGTGACCTAATTGGAGGACAGGAACTGAAAGTCCGTATGTCGCCAGGCAATGACAGGCCTGGCTCTTTATAAGTCAGATGAGGTAAAAAAAAAAAAAAAGTCAGATGAGGTGAGCAAGGACTGGAGGAGCTGGAACCACCCACAGAACCAGGCATTGGAGTTTACAAGTCCCGTCGCCACCTTTGCCAGGTAGCGACCAGAGCATCGCTGAGGCAGTGTTTGGCATCCCACAGAGACCAGACCCGGGTGCCCACATGGCTAGGATGCAGTGTTCACCACCCTCTTTTGGAGTGCTCGGGCCTCTGTCAGGAGTGGATCAGCCCAGGCCTCAGGAGCTCTGGATCTGGATGTGGACGAAGAGAGTGGCTGGTGAGAGTGAGGCCCCGTCCTTGGAAAGCAGGTGGATGTGGCGGTACCCTGTGAGGAGGACAGGTTGGTACCACCTGGCCAGGCCATGGAGACCACAGGCCACATACCCCACCCCCTTCCACCCTCCTCCCAGCGCCCCACCAACCTTGCTTCAGGCTGTTGAGCGGCAGTGTGAACTGGCCCACAAAGTCATTGGGGGAGGTTGTGTCATAATCCTCAACCACGAACCGGACCAGCACCAGCTCCGGAGCCCGCAGCTGAAACTGCAGTGTCTGCTCCCAGCGCGGATTGAAGCCTGAGGTGCGGGCAGAGGTCAGGGTCCTACAGCCCCAACTGCCCTCTCCACACACACACCCCCCAGGCCACCCACCATTGTTGAGCACATAGTCAGTCTCCTGGCGTGCACAGTCGGCCGGCACCCCATGGATCTCCACGCGCACCAGGGGGTCCACGATGGAGTTGGGCTTCTCTGCGTTCAGCTTAGGGAGCTGTTGTGCAGTCAGCACCTGGACAGGGATGGGGTGCTTCAGCCTGGGCCCTGCTTCCCACCAGGCCCGGCAGACACTCCCACCTCCTGCTTGGCCGCTCCACCTCAGGCTGCAGGCCTTTCCCAGGTAGTCAGACCCAGCATGGGGCCCAGACCAATCTGCTGACCTGGATGATGAGCGTGGCTCTGGGGGGCCCAGGGCACTCAGGGTCAAAGGTTGTGTTGGGTTGCCGCAGACAAGTGGGCTTCAGGACATAACCGCACTGCCCGTTGATGAGGAAGCGTCCAGCATTGAGGTCCATCTCATAGCCTGGTGTCTGGAAGTTCAGGGCCACTGAGGGGGACACAGCAGGGTCAGGGCAGGGACACTAGCAGTGCCCTCCTCACCACTCAGTTTCAGGGGTCTGAGATGGGGGGACTCAAGACAGCCAGAAGACCCAGATGAGCATCGTGACCCACACATTTGATGAAACCAAATCCACCTCGTGGCAGCAATCACACCCATTTCTCTGGCTTCACTGGTGAACTGAAATGATGGAACTTCTATATCATTTGCTCTTTCTACTTTGTCACGTTGGTCTGCTGAAATAGTGAACCTGATTAGGTCATCTTCCAGCAAACTCACCTTGGATTTTGTGTCTTTGTCTCCAAAGACAAGTTCTTTAGAAATTAACTTTGATGTAGCCTGGCAATGGGTCCTTCTGGTTTACTGGATACTTTTGGGATAACTTTGGTTACAGTTCCTTCAAAGTTGCTATCTTTGAAAATGACTATTCCTTGAGGCGATAGTCTGATGTCAGTTGCCACTTCTTTGCCATTTCTGTCCTTTAATAAAAGGGGAAAGATTTATACAGTCTCCATTTCTGTCCTTGACTGTGAACTACACCATCTCTGGGCTGTAAGGCTTCCACGTCACCTTTGAATTAACAATAGTTAAAGAAGACCTCTCTTTTTTTAAAAATGTATTTATGTGTGTGTGTGTGTGTGTGTGTGTGTGTGTGTGTGTGTGTGTGTGTGTGTGTGTGTGTGTGT